CCAAGGTTGGACACCCCTGATCTATATGGTCAATAAAGAGTTGAGGTGAACAAATTGGCATATAATCAATCAATGAATCAATAATTTTAAATTGCTCTTGTGTTTGTTGGTGGAAGACCCACCCTTGATGGTATACATTTTTTCATTATTCTAAAGCCTTCCTAGTTGCCCTTATTTTTCAGTCAGGAAAATGGAGATGAAGATGTAAAAGGAGAGCAAGCAGAGCTGGGGGGTGGACTTAAGCATATCATCAGCTTAGATTTGTTGCGTCTCCCACAAACAGAAGAACAAAAGAACAGAGTTGGAAAGGACTCTTGGAGGTCTTCTAGTCCAACCCCCTGCTCAAGCAGGAAGCCCTATACCATTTCAGACAAATAGTTGTCCAATCTTTTCTTAAAAACCCACAGTGTTGGAGCACCTACAATTTCTGGAGTCATATAATTCCATTGATTAATTGTTCTCACAGTCAGGACATTTCTCCTTAGTTCTACAGTGGGTCTCTCCTTGGTTAGTTTCCATCCATTGCTTCTTATCCTGCCTTCAGGTGCTTTGGAGAATAGGTTGACCCTCCCTCTTCTTTGTCACAGCCCCTTAGATAGAACATCACTCTGGGAGAACTTTCCTCCTTGTGGCCGTCTTCGTCAATTACATGGACATGTGTGAATCCAAGGCAAAAGAACTCTACTCTCAAAGATAGAATATTCAACTTATCACATAACTCAGTTAGCATAAAACCACTGCAATGCACTATAACAGGGGTGTGAAAAACAAAGCCCATGGGGCCGTCCTGGAAAATGTAAAGGGCTGGCCCGCGTTACTTTGGCCCAGTGCAAAGAGGACAATGTAGCTTCGGCCCAGTCTACCCAGTGTGAAGAGGAAAGATCAGACCAGTGTAGCTTCAGCCCGGTCTACCCAGTACAAAGAGGAAAGGTTGGGTCAGCGTAGCTTCGTCCCGGTCTATCCATTTCAAAGAGGAAACATGCCAGCAGTTTGGGGAGTGGCATCAAGCTGGCCATGCCCACCCAGCTGGTCACACCCACTCAGTTGGCCACGCCCCCATCCCCTCCAACTCAAGGTCAACCACAGCCCTGACGCAGACCTCAATGAAATTGAGTTTGACATCCCTGCTATCAGCCTCCATGATGCATGCTTGCTGTTGGCTGCCCTAGAAAAAGGGAGGGTGGAAGTTTGGCATTTGGGGGGAAAGTTTGCGGGAGAATGGAGATTATTTCTTTGTGAACAAATGTGGAGGGGATGCATCTGTGTGCAACTGCTCGGACTTGTTTATGCCCAATCAAGATCAACAGTCTTGCCATACCAGATGGGGGAAAGAACACCTGAAGGTGTACCCTACATGACACCATATACGCACTGGAGATTGGACGTCCAGTCTGGGTCCTTGGGGGAGGGAACTTGGGATAACTTTCAAAACGTAATGTTCACTCCTATTGCCTGAGATCTTGCTTTTCTTTCATTGCTATCACTTCTAACTCAGTAAAAAGTACCTTTTCTCTACAAACTTGGAGTTGGGGGATTTCTTTCTTGGGTTTTGAATGGAGGCACGTCTGACACCTGCACTATAACCATCTCTTCTCTGCTTCTCAGAAAAAAAAATCTGAATGCAGTTTTTTTTTTCAACAAACTGAGTACAAACAAGTAGAAGAAAAATTACCGGATGATTTTTCCACACAGTCTTATTGCATAGCTTAAATTGGAAAAAAAAAAAAAAAGATTAACTTTAGAAGAACATGTACCCTTTCGGGTGCCAGTAAGGAGCATTGTAATTAGAACTTTTGCAGAAGTGGGGAAAAGAGAAAAGTCTGCCATTATTTCTAGCTATAAACAGTTTGGTGCGGCTGTGGTTTATTAACCTAACATATTGCAAATCTAATTAAAAGTCAAATACACAAAACCCTCATCAAAATCCAAATGTTCTTTACAGAAACATCAAGGAGGAAAGAAGGGTATGAGGAGCTATACCTCCAAGGTAATCAGAATGCATCTTCAGGGACTCATACCTTATTACTCGTGCCTCATTATCAGTACTCTGCGTAGTAAAACAACACCTAGAGACGGCATCATTAGCTTCCTACACCATCCATTATTGGAGAAAATGGAAATGCTGAAACAGAGGAGCTAAGCTGTAGGTATTGTTGAAGGAAGAGGGAGGGGAGCAAAAGAAGGGAAAATTAAAGTCATTGTTTCACAGTTTCCCCCAAAGAATGGCAACATACTTCCCAGATGGCTGGAATTCTTGCAAACATCTGCCCTCTATGGTGCTTTCAAGCTTGGTTTTGCAAGAGTTTATTCCAATGTTTCTCAACCTTGGCAACTTTATGATATGTGGACTTCAACTCCCAGAATTCCCCAGTGAACACGCTGGCTGGGGAATTCTGGGAGTTGAAGTCTACACATCTTAAAAGTTGCCATGGTTGAGAAACAATGGATTAAGCATCTTGCTTTATGCCTAAGGCAAGACTGGAACTCATGATCTCCTGATTTCTAGCCAGGTGCTTTCATCTACTACACCAAGCTGGTTTCTTTTTCTATCCCTGATTATATTATAGGGAGGGCCATGATGGCTCAGTGATTAAAGGCACTGAGGTTGTCAGCTAGAAAGCTTTCAGCCTGGATTCTAGACCCAAGTGCCACTCAACAGGGTGAGCTCCCGTTACTTGTTCCAGCTCCTGTCAACCTAGCATTTCGAAAGCATGCAAATGCGAGTAGATAAATAGGTACCACTTTGGTGGAAAAGTATAACAGCATTCTGTGCACCTTGGCATATAGTTATGGTGGCCAGATGAGTACAGAAATGTCTTTGGACAATATGAAGGATCCAACTGCCAAACTACTGGCAATTGGGAGTCAGCAGGATTAGCTTGCAATATTACATTCTAACCACTATGCCACCATGGCTCCTTATATAAGCTGTTCCAAGTGAAGCTGCCTTTTGAAATTGACTGATAGTGACTTTGTCAATGCTGATGGTGTTCAAGTGGTGCTTCAATTGTTTTGGGATTTCACACAAGGCCCCTGTTACTATTGATACTACCTTTGCTTTCTTTTGCCACACTTGTTTGATTTCTACAGGTAGTCCTCAACTTACAACAGTTCACTTAGAGACCATTCCAAGCTACAACATCACTGAAAAAAGT